TGCTTAATATTTAGGGGTTGTGTGCATATGTTGGCACTTTCTGAAGAGCGTTGGAGATGACAACTGTGGAAGGACGGGAAAAACTCTTATTCCCATAGATGCTTAGACTGGAACTTTGTGGGAAACAGCATTCTGTAAAAAAAGATTGGTTCGGCGTTCTTTTTTTTTAAAATCTAAGTCATTTCGTCATCACTATCTTTGGAAAAGTTCTTTCTTTGAAAAAAAATTGACTGTGTTTCTTTCAGTCACTTTACACATAAAATCACCAGGCAAGCTGTTACAGAATCAGCTACTGTTAATTTTCAGGACGATGCATGGTGGTGATCGATGTTGTTGCAGTAACAAACTGTGTAATTTTGATCTGATCCTGAAGGAACGTCCATACTTCATGAAATACTTGCCGGAGCGAGAAATTCACAGCCTAAATATCCCGCTGGAGTCACATTGCGGCAAAATAAAACCGCAGGCTGGCTGAGATTATTTAGCTTACCAATTATGCATTTGCATTGTCATGTAAAATGACGATGAAATCAGAAACAGTAGTATGCACCTGAAGCCTTACATTCATTGTTTTTTGCGAAACATTTTTCCTTGATGTAGCTGAGCCAGCACCTACACGGCAGTCTAATCGGTGCTCCATACTCGCCAAGGTATGTAAAGTAATAAAAGTCTTGAAAACTGTGAAATTTTCTTGCTTTGTGAACAACATTTGGCATGATGCATAAATGGGATAAATAACATTTCTAGAAACTAAAAAAAAATCCCTAAGGAAGAGGATGGAAGCTGGAGCAGATGAAGGTAAAGTTGGTGAATGGGTGAGGAGTGAAGAGGGAAGGCAAGAAGGAAGGCTGAAAGAACCTGAGGCAAGTAATAAAACAAAAGTTACTTGTTGATTTGCTGGCAAATGCAGCATGATTAGTCGGGTGAATCGTGATTTTAAAGTGTAGAAACTCAGAGGTTGAACTGACAGTACCAAAACGTAAAAATTTTTGAAACACGCTTCACATATTTGTAACAGTATCAACTTCTACAGTTAAAATAAAAAATGAAATTAGCGCAACTAAGAAGTGGATGAATTAGAAGAAATCACTTTATTAATGCTACAGTTACCAAGTAAAAATTTTTAAGGGATGAAGGGATTGCTAGGATGGTTGATCGTTGTGTGGTGCTGTGACTAGTGGACAAATTGAATAACAAAACACGTATGGGTCCAATATGAAATAAAATGTGCGAAAGGTACAAACAGCACAGTGCGTGGCGCTTGGGGTCTGACGAATGTGGTGGCTTGCTAGGGCAAGCAGTTTAGCAGGGACTCCCGAAAGGTCGCATACCCATTGGCTTCGTGACGAGCACGTCAGGGTCCCGGTGGTGATCCACGATGGGTCCGCGAGACGTGTGTCTGACAGACGACGATTTGTCGGCTGTTGAAGCTGAAGGTTGTTCAAGAAAGCT